TGAAATGCATGCCAAAACTCCTTACTGTTTATGTAGATGTTATATAATTTTGTTTAAAAATATAAAATAAAGTAAAACTGAGGCTTGGCCCACCTCTGCTTTTACCTGGGTACTCTGGTGTTACGCAGTTGTTCACAGCATTCTCCTAAGTTGTGTTTTCTGACACTTTTTCACATTATTGCAATAAGCTGACTACTGAATGAGTCATCTTTAGTCCTTCCAATGAAACACTTCAGCTCTGTGTTCTTTCCTGGTTCACACGAAATATTAGTGGGACCACCTGGAATTATGTTTGGTGTAGAACCATGTTCCAGGCACTTAGTTGGCAAGAGTTGGTGTGTCCAGCCATCGTGGCCACTGTTGCGACACTTCTTATTCGTGGTAGTGATTCCCAGTACCACATGACCAGGCTCCCCCTGGGGAGACCTTCCTCTAGCCTCCTCTTTTCCATGCTCTTTTCTATTAATGCTTTTTTGTGTGATGTTCATATAAGCTCCTCCCTCTGCCCTTCTTCTTCAAGGGAAGCCATGTTCACACTTGAGAATTCCAGAAGAGGACAGTCCTTGGACCCTTGGCCTAAACACTTGTTCTTGTCCACTAAAAGACTGATAGAGGGATCTAGAAATCTCAGCAGCTTCTGATATATTGAAGCTTATTATTTGGTGACAAAAGGTAGGCTATAAACTCTTTGAGGAAGTTACAAAGGGATGCTATAAGCCCAACTTGAAAATCTGATTTATTACCTTCATTGGTATTTATACTTACCTTTGTCAATTTTACAATCTCTCTCTCAGGAATATTAAATTCAAAAATTTCAGATAAAGCAAAATGTATTTTGTCTCAATAGTTGTGTGGTCAAGTAATCAGAAATTTATTCAAAAAGTAAGATCCTTATTAAGGTCCAAGTCAAATTTGGAGAGAAAGATTTGATAGAAATCTCCTTAAAGATTGGATAGTCATCCTTAAAGGAAATGCTTGCTTGTTTAAATTACTATGCTGCCTTCATCGCATGAACCTATTTTTAAAACATTTTTAAATCAAATATTATGCTACATTTGTGTTTTCAAATTCTGACCAGCTTTTAGGAAGAGTAGCCAAGTAGCCAGGCTCCGTGGCACATGCCTGTAATCCCAGCGGCTCGGGAGGCTGAAGCAGGAGCATCAAGAGTTCAAAGCCAGCTTCAGCAAAAGTGAGGCATTAAACAACTCGGGGAGACCCTGTCTCTAAATAAAATACAAAAAATAGGGCTGGGGGTGTGGCTCAGTGGTGGAGTGCCTCTGAGTTCAATCCCCGGCACCTCCATCCCCCTCAAAAAAATAAAAGTAGCCAAGTTATTTGTGTGCTTATGGTCATTTGGATCAATTCCTTGTTGGCTTATTTGCTGCCACCAAATAATTTTATAAACAAATTCCTACAGATGAGAAGGACTGAAAATGAGACTTCTGTGTAGGAACTTTCATTTTAAACAGCACTGACCAGAACCCCAGTGGCCTCATTTGTGGCACAGTGGTATAAGAAGGGAGGCCAAGTCATCAATAGCTGGATGAGGCCTCAGCTGACCAAGCCTGGAACACCCAAGGAAAACCAGGTGTCCCCGCACAGGTCACCATATGGCTTAGGGGAAAGCAAGGAATTTGAATGTAGTTGGTAGTTATACGACACATTCCTCAGAAAGTCAGAAGCGCATCAGAGGCTCCTCTTTGTACTGTTATTGGAGGTTACCTGTGACAACCTGAGTTTCAGAATGATAGAACTGGAAGACATTAGAAACCATGCAATTAGAACATTGTTTTAAACACAAGATATTTATGTCCAGAGAATTTAATAGGCCATCTAACTTCCTGTCTCCGGGTTTCTTGATCAGTATCAGATGTGGTAGACCCAGTTGTGTGGGCTTGCAACAATCTTGGGTTTAGATCCTCATCATCACTTACTTTAAATCTGGCTTATAATAACTGCATCATTTAATCTTTGTGAACCACACTTTCCTCTCTAGTGAAAAAGTAATAGTCATATCTACTTCAGTTTGGGGAAGGCTAAATAAGATAATTCATGGGGAAGACACCTTCCATTTTGTAGGCCTTTAGGAAAGGCCAATTTCCTGTTCTCTTTTACTTGAGTATCTCAAGCTCACGGGGGACTTCAAGTAGACCCTCTGAGAGCAAACCATGACCAGTAATCATAAGCAAAGTAGTGCATGATACTAGCCCCCAAAGCTCTAGCAAAACTACAATTCAACCACAAAGACTATTTCTACTTATCTCTTTATCAGAAGGTCATTTTTCCATTGAAACCAATGTCCCCAGAACCTCCCTTACTTCATTCCTGCTAGATAGCCTGTCCAGGCAACTTAGCCACCCAAGACTCAGCAACCCAAGGCAAGTCTGGCTTACACACACCAGCCCACCTTGAATTCTCTACCCATTCCCTCCACCTCTCCTTTCCCTACATCAACCCTCCCCTCCTCCTTCTGCCCCCCATGTAGATCAAATATTTGACATGGCTGTCATTTCTCATTTACTATTTGCACCGCTATATTTTGTTTGCATCTAATTCTAATTAACTGGGTTACCTGGAGCTTCATCTCTTTTATAGTGTCTATTTTTTTTTTCTGAAACAATCTGGTTTTCTCAGCTTCTGGTATTCACTGTTCCCTCTTCGTATGGCTCAAAAGACATATGTGTCTATACTTTATGAATAGATGGATACTTTGGGGAAAACAAAAGAAGAAGCAGTCCTGTCTACATCTTTCCAGGAATGTAGAGCTATACTTTGCAGGCAGAAATAGAGTTAACAGAGGAAACAGAACACACATTTATGTCAGTGCTCCATTCCAGTTTTAAAAAATGAGGGTCATGGGTATTTGGAGGAAGGTGTTTCTGGCAAGAGGTGCTACAGGAAAGCCAGGAAAAACTATGCCTGCTTTTGTAGGAGGAAAGAAAAAAAAATTGTCAGCAAAGAGGAAGAGATCAATTAGAGGAGTGAACTTGAACTTTGAAAATTAGTATCAAAGTGAAAGAGGAATTGGATGTTATTTTTAAAATAACTTATATTGCACTTATATCTCTCATTAAAAAATAAACACATTTTGATGATAGAAACTTTAGAAGATGCCAATGAGCAGAAAAGGTAAAAAAAATCAAGAAAAATAAGAAAGGAAATCATAAAAGAAACCAATTATCACCCATAATCTTACTTCTTAGCCAATAACACTTTGAAAACGTTTTTTGACATTTTCTGGTATTTTCACTTATAGACACCTGCCCATGAAACTAAATATTCTTTGTAATGCCAAATTTATGGCTTGGTAGTCTTGTCTCGTGAAAGTTTCACACTGTCCATTTATAAACAGCCCTGCCACACCCATGGTCCTCTCTGTGGCTCTCTCTGCTGACGTTCCCTCTGCCTGGTGTGGCAAGAACTCAGCACGGCCATGTCTTTACTGATATTTTGTGCCAGTCATTTGTGGATGATCCATGGCTGTTGGTTGTCTTTCTTTGGGATTATTATTCCTGTTTGTGTGTGTATTATTTAATACCACTTTTGATAACAAACTCAGTGCAAAAAAAAAAAAACAACAACAACAGAGAAATTATATGCAATAGTCATGGTGGCAACTCCTACCCGCGCCATCCACAGAAACATGTTTGAGGAATTATGTTGACCTAATATATAAGGCAGAGTTTATTCACTTAGGATCATATGGTTATATGGACTCAGCTAATTCTTGTTTTTCTCAGGATGAGTAAGTTGGACTTAAAGAATACAACAAATTAGTGGTTATATTTCAATTGGCTGTTAGATATTTTGGAAGTATTATCATTACCAACTGATAACACTAGCTACGTTTATTGAGCACTAACTCGGTAACGCGTTGAACGTGCATTTGTTCATTTCTCACAATAGTACCTAGTTACACTCTAAAGCTGTTTCACAGAATAATAAGCTAAGGCACAGAGAGGGCAGGGATTAGCCTGAGGCTAAGCAAAAAGTAGTAAAGCTGGGATAAGAACAGGCTGTCTGCCTGTAGCCTGCACTCGCTCTTCTCGCTGCAGTGGAGGGCCTAGGTAGAAACCTCTTTTCAGATAAGCTCAGTGATGTCATTTCAATACCATCAAAGACCATTTACATTACACTGTATGGTGAGCATTTGCACAAGGTGATTAACAAGTAAATTACAACGTATAGCAGGGAACTGCAAGCTCCTCTTCTAGAAACGTTAACTCATGTTTGAAGGAATAAAATAATTTAAGGCTAATTTAGAGTTTTGGCTTTGAGGAGATACATTTTGGATCATATTATGGGGTATACAATCCAGAAAGACAATTAAACTACATCCTAATTATTCAAAAGCAAACAGTTTAGTTTTCAAAGTAAACAAATGCCTCCCTCAAACTTTGAGAGACAGCTTAAAGATCCATAAATTGAAATATGTACCAGATGTACCCTTTCTCAAGATATCTAAATTCTTCCCAAGAATGAAGAAATTGCCATCTCCTGGGAAAGCAACAGAGAATACTGGGTGAGAGCAGGAACTCTGAACAAAACTTTCTGGACCTACCACCCACTACCTCACCTGGCCTCAGTTTTCTCTTCTGTAAAATGGAATCATAACAGTCCCACTCCACAGAATTGTTTTGAGGATTAAATGGGACCTGCCTATAAAGTACATAGCACAGTTCCTTGTAATCAAGATGCTCTGTAAATGTCAGATGATATGATTGGGATTCCTGATTGCTGCTGGACTTCCATTCTGTCTCTCAGCATGTGCAATCCCAGTCCGGCCCCACTAGCTGAAGTACGTCCCTCTTGCAGGTGTCAAGCCAGAATTCCTGCTGAATCTGAGATCCAGTTAGTAACAGCTCCTTTAACTCCTTTTCTGCCTCCGAGATCAAATTCTTCCCCTGTATTCCATGCTAGTAAAGCTAAGATATACTCAAAATTTCTGAAAACATGTTCTGGCCCGTGGTTTATATTTATGAATGGCTTTTATTCTTCAGGTCAGCTTCTGGAAGCCGCTGAGCATTATGAGGCATTCCATCAATTGACGCAGGGGCGGATATGGAAGGATGAGACAGAGCGCTTTCTCAACATGTGGGCCTGCGAAAGTCTCCTGAGGACCTACAGATTACTCTCAGACAAAATGCTGGAGAATAAAGAATACAAACAGGCCATCAAAATTCTAATAAAAGCTTCTGAAATAGCCAAAGAAGGTGGGTGGAAAAGAACCCTCTCACATTGCTTTCTTTAATGGACAGACACTGGTTCTCCCAAGAGTGAAGTGAAACCCGTCAAGTGTTAGGGTGATTATTTCCTATGAAATGCAAAGACAAATGCCATCAATATACTTTCAAATTTCACTGTAAAACAGAGGTGGCTTAGTGCTGACAACAAGAAATCCATTAGTTCCTTGAAAGCTTTATCTCCAAAATTACAACCCGCTGTAGATAGCCTTGTAAAACAAGGAACCCACAATGAGAAGATAAGGTCACCTGCAAAAGTTAAGGGTGTGTGTGTGTGTGCATGTGTGTGTTAAAAGTCGTATATTTCTAGCAATCTGAGAGAACTTTCATTGTTTCTAAATTTCCTACATATAGTCAGATAACTTGGAAATTATGATGAATATTTAGTTAGGGATAACAGGAAAATAGGACTTCAATATATTTTGGACAATTGGCTCTCAAAGTGTGGCCTCTGAAACATCAGCATCACCAGGAGGCAGGTATGAAAGCAGCATCTTAGGTCCCAGCCCAGGCTGCCTGCATCAGAATCGATGGGTGAGCAAGATCCCCAGGTGATTCATATGCACATTTACAACAGGAAAAGTGCTTTTTGTGAGAGTTGCTCATATCCTTAATGTTCTATATCATTTATGAATGTATATAATATAGGGGAAAAATTTGGAGCATATCCTTATAAGCTTTTAATTTGTGAAATACGAGGATATTTTGTTGCCATGTAGGAATTTACTAATAGACTAGCATTTTCATGAAGGAAAAAAAAATTCTGCCCTTAAACTAAAATTCATAAGCTCATGGATATATTTGATTGATTTAAGTAACAGGTGGCTTATTTGAAGTAAACAGAACTAATTTGGGGGGGGGTATGGTTTTTAATTTACCAACAAGTGAAAGTGAACAGCTTATTCTTTCAGTTACTTTTTTAAAATAAAATTAATTGAATCACAGGAAATCACCGTCATTGAAAGACACCCCACTAAATGAACAACTTTTGAATAGATGATGACCTAGTACCTTCTCCAAGGGGGTGAACACTGACATAATTCATTAGCTCTTAGATCGATTTCAGCAACCAACTTTTGTTGCATGAAATTGGCGAGAACTTCAATGCAAAGGAATGTATATTTTACTTTAGGTTCACGTTTGCTGAGTTGTAAGAGAATCCACACACAAAAAGGAAGGTGACTGGGGCCTCTGCTAATGGTAAGAGCCCTGCCAAGCAGTCTCCTTTCTGAAAGCATCTCTCACTTTCCAGAGGACAGAGAAGGGGAATAGAAGAAAACGTACTTCTTATGCTGTAATAATTCGTGTGTGTGTGTGTGTGTGTGTGTGTGTGTGTGTGTGTGTGTGGTTCTGGGCATTAAACCCAGGGGAGCTTCCTTTTTTATTTTTTGGTTTTGAGATATGGTCTCAATAAGTTGTTGAGGCTGGCCTTGAGTTTGTGATCCTCCTGCCTCAGCCCTTCAATACACACCACCACACCCAGCAGATATCCTCTTTTCTTTCTTTTTCTTTTTTTTCCATACTGGGTATAAACTCAGAGGCACTTAACCACTGAACCACATCCCCAGCCCTTTTTATTTATTTTTTTAATCTTGAGACAGGATCTCACTAAGTTGCTCAGGGCCTTGCTAAGTTGCTGAGGCTGGCCTCAAACTTGTGGTCCTCCCAGCTCAGCCTCCCAAGCCACTGGGATTACAGGTGTATGTCATCATGCCAGCTAGCCTTTTTTTCTTAATATCTTCCAATGAGCCACTGCTTCATGAGTGGTCATTCAGTGAGTGGTGAGATCAACTGCTGCCTGGAGGATTGCTAATTCATGAAATACTTCATGATTGGAAAGCAGTGTTCAGAAATCTACTCTCCCAAGAACAAAACCATATGTGGATCTGTCAGTATTTGCATTACCCAGGTATTAGACAGAAGCTAATGAGTTCCAAAAGTAGAAAAGAGGAAAGTATTAATATTAAAATAATAACTTTAAATAGTTCTTTAAAATATATTAAATATATATGTTACATTAATATACTAAAGGTGAGTAAGCTGTAGATTTATCAAATGTTATGATGAATGTCTTTTTAAACCATATGTTGCACCTTTATACATTTTGCTTTTGGAAAGAAAAAATGGGTAATTCCTGGAATAAAATTTATCTCCCAAGAATTAGAAAGGCTTAACTCCTTGTAAAAAGATGATGAAACGCTTTACAAGTGGTGAGCAAAGAAGAAAGAACATGTTTAGATTTCAAATGTGAGTGGAATTTTGTACCAAGAAGTCAAGCTCTGTCATTCTCTCTCAAGGTTTAACCAATAAATAGCTTTTGAATTGAACATAACCAGAATAACAATCTCTTATTTGGCTATACTCATCCGCTCTGTTGGAAACTTAGCTGAATGTCAGTCATGTGGTGAGTGAAGGTACAGTAGTTAACGGCTGGTACCCTCACCAGTCATTACAGATGCTGGACAATGGTAGGCTGATAGTAAGGGTATACCTGGCCATCAAAATTGCATACTGGAGCCAGACTGAGTGCATTGCAGGAGGATCACAAGTTCAAAGCCAACCTCAGCAATTTAACAAGGCCCTAGGTAACTTAGTGAGACCCTGTCTCTAAATTAAAAAAAAAAAATTAAAAAGGGCTGAGGATGTGACTCAGTGGTTAAATGCCCCTGGGTTCAATTCCCAGGGTATCAATAAATAAACAAATGAACAAATAAATAAAATGGCATACTGATGGGTATATAGAGGGAAACCCCTCATCATTATATATCTCATGAACCTTACTCTAACACCTGGGATCCAGTAACTTATGTTTACATTGGTCTTTGTTTTATTCAGGGCACAGCTAGGCTTTGGGGATCATTGATAAATCTGTATACTTTTTAAAATAGCAACTTACTGTTGGTAGTTGTGATAAATCAATTTCTTTAATACCACAGTAATATTTCTACATCTGTATTTTAGCAAATAACAAAAAGATGGAAGGAGAAGCTTTGTATTACTTGGGCTTAGCACACCTGGCTGCCAAGGAACAGAATACTGCAATGACAGTAAGTTAAAGTGAACTTTTAATTATTGCCATTTTACTTGCTGTTTTATTATAGTATGTGCGATTGTAAGGCCATCCCAAAATGTATCAGGCCTGACATCAGTGTGCCTATTTACTTGACTCAAACAGAATAGCCGTATGTTAGAATCATGGAAAAAAAAAAATCTGATTCTATTATTTACCGAAGGTGGGATATAGTTAGTTACTATGAAATACTTTAGAATATGTAAAAGTGAAAAGTATGGAGTAATATTACCCCTGAGCCTCCAATATTACTAAGGACAAGAGAGAATGGGTCCAAATGATAGCAAAAAGTAAACAGATAAAATTGCAGAAATTCCCAGTTTGATGTAGGATACTTTGCTTAAAAATGCTGTTAGTAAGTGTCCTCAAGAGTTGTACTGATAGGAAAGGCAGCAGAATACAACAGACACTAGTATGGCAATATGTAAATCAATGGATGTGTAACTGATGTGATTCTGCAATCTGTATACGGGGTAAAAATGGGAGTTCATAACCCACTTGAATTAAAGTGTGAAATATGATATATCAAGAACTATGTAATGTTTTGAACAACCAACAATAAAAATTAAAAAAAAAAGAGTTGTACTGATGTAGGTATTTATGTGTGAGTAGGGAAGGTGGCTAGTTTCATCTGAGCAGCTTCCTGCTCAGGACAGTATTAGTAGTTGCCTATATTGTGACCAGATTTTTTTTTTGGCTGAAATACTATATATATTTGTATAAATATATATTTGTATAAATACATATTTGTATAAATACACACACACACACACACACACACTGTTATCTTTACTGTATTTTAACTGAAGTCATTTTCTGGTCTTTTCTTACTTGTAATATATTTAAAGTGCAGTTCCTATTTCACTTCACATTCATCCACCCCCTATAAGGGATTTGATTTACAGTAATATATTATTTAATATACAGTATTATCTTTATTTTTAGCCTTGAGGATCTTGTTTGTGCCTTTAGATATTTACGCTATGTAGGGTTCCTATATGTGGGCTCGATGTTTTCCCCTAGCTTTCTTACCACCAGTCTTCATAGAAAACTTGGGTTTTCCTAGGTGAGTATCCTGCTTCCAAGTTTTCAGTTAATGATATGCATTCAGCAACAATCGGCTCCAGATTCTTTGGGGAATATAGAGACCAATAAGATGCATGCTTCCCTTTAGGGGTTAATTTAGTCAGGATAACCATCTTATAAAGATAACTATAATTCAAAGCAGGATGAACAAGGGGTTTCTAAGGGAAGAGGGAAGAGGTTGGTTCCAACACTGAAGACCAGGAGGTTGCACAGAAGAGCTATTGGGGAGTGGGGTTTCTATAGGCAGAAAACATGAGATATCCAGAGTGAAAGTAAACACACACACACACACACACACACACACACACACACACACCACTCTATATGAGTCTACAAAGTGTTCTGGGAACACGAAAAATGAAATGCATTAGGAGGTTAAGTTGGAAAAGGTGAAAACTATCTCATAGATTCTCTCTCACATGACAAAACATATTCAAGCAATGCAGTAGAGTGCACAGTGAAAAGTAAGTCTTCCCTCCATCCCTATATTCAATCTCATAGTTCTTTCCTCAAGAACAAATGCAGTTACAAATGTCTGGTTTAACTTTCCAAAATATTCCATGCATGCATAGCATACATGTGCATATAAATCTGTGTCCTTTTGGTTATTTATAAAATGATAGCATTTATACATACCCCCCTGCACCTGGAGTTAACTTCTTCCGTATTGAAATAGACATATCTTATTTGACTTTTTTTTTACTGTTCCAACTCTATTGGGGTATGAATGACAGATTAAACAATGCATATATTTAAGATGAAAAATGTGATGTTTTGATGATGTTAGGACAGCCTAATCAAGCTAATTGTCCTAGCCATCACCTCACATATTTCTCTATTGTTTTTATGAGAAGACTTAAAAATTACTCTGTTAGTATATTTTAAATGTATGATACTTTGGTATTAACTGCAGACATGCCTCGTTCTATAGTACAGCCACTCAATGTGCCCCCCACACACATTGAGTGGCTGTACTTATAATGTATTTAGCCATCTCCTACTGGTGGGCAATAAGATCATCTCCAATGCTTTCTTATTACAAAGGATATGTGGCAATGAATAACTTTGTCAAATGTGACAAATTTATCCATAGAAGATTCCCAGAGGTACAACTTCTTGGGTATCTTATACTCAAGTTGTTTAGTAATAGAGCAATTGAAGAACCTATATTCAATACCCAAGTGAACAATTTCTTGAAACTCTTACTTTCTTCAGAAAAGTATTAAAATTGTCTTTGTGGAAATAAATGTGAGACTTATGCCTATAACCCACCTATTGACCGTGTGATCTTGGGCAAGTCCTTAATCTCTATAAGTGTCAGTTGCCTCTTGAATCCTGTGGGACTAGTAACTATGCTGACTTTATAGAGAGTAATAGGCTACATGGAAGCTCCCCCAAAGACCCGCCTGTCAATCCCTAGACCCCATGTAATGAATTGCAGGATCTTAAGGTGAAGTGTTTATCCTGGATTGACTGGAGGGATTCTAAATCCAAAGACAAGCACCTTTATGAGAAAAGGGCGAGAGATTGAAATAGACATATGTGGCAGGTCATGTGAAGGTGAGGGTGGAGAGTGTGGAGACTCGGCCACTAGTGGAGAGTGCCTGGAGCCTCCAACAAAGGGAAGAGAGAAGCAATGCAAGGACCTGTCCTGGCTCCTGGAGAGGACCCCTACCATGACACCAGACCCGACTTTAGCCTTCCACGCTGCAGGAGAAGAGATTCCTGTTATTTTAAGTCATCTGGTTTGTGGTAATTGCTGTGCCAGCCCTAGGGAACTAATACATAGGGTGATTAGAAGAGATAATTGATGTAAAGTTTCTAAAAAGAGTCTGCCTGGTATATAATAGGCCTTTAATTATTAGCTTTTATTATTATTGCACTCATCTAAGTCTCTGGACTTGAGTAGTGGTAGTAAAGATGGAAGGAACTAGATGGATTCAGAAGTCATAAAGGACTTAAAATAGGAGATGAAGGAAACAGGCATTGAGATAGATGGTCCCTGAGTGCCCGGCTGTGAACCTGGAGAGATGCTGGTATCATTTCCTGAGGTAGGGAATGTTAAAGAACACCCAGTCTTGGGGTGAAGTGGAAAACCCAGTTTGTGATTTGCAGAGTTTGAAGAATTTTGGAAGTGCCCAAGGAGAGTTCAAGTAGACAGTTTAATATGTGGCCTCAAGAAGAAGTGTAGATTGGAGATACTATAGGTGATAGTTAATTTCATGGGTCAACTTGCCTGGGTGATAGGGGGTACCCAGATAAATGGTAAACATTATTTCTGAATGTATCTGTGAGGTTATTTCTGGATATTAGCATTAGAATTGGTGGAGTAAAGGAGATGATCCTTCCCATTATCCAATCTATTGAGGGTCTGAATAGAACAGAAGGGTTCAGAAAGGGCAAATTCTGTCTGCCATACTGTTTGAGCAGAGCACTAATGATTCAAAAGTGTTCAGACCCAAACTGGAATCTATACTGTTGGCTCCAAAACTCTCAGTCCTTCAAAATATGTCACCAGTTCTCCTGGGTCTCCAGTTTACAGGTGGCTAATAGTTGGATTTCTCAGCCTACCTAATGACATGAGCCAATCAATACCTTATTAAAAAAAAAGCTCTTCATATATTTATGTGTGAGAGGCTATGAGAAAATATGAGAGAATACATTTCTTTTACTTTAAGACTTTTAGCTTGTGGAAATTTGTTACATCAGTCCTAAGAAGCTAAACATGGGGGATGGGAAGAGATTTCATATGTATACAGTTGGTTTCTCTGGAGAACCTGACCAATATGGTGCATAAATTTGTTAAGTTTTAGCATATTCATGGTGTGCAGTGGATGAAATTTCCTAGAGAGTATTAATAATGATTTTTTAAAGGCCTAGGGTGAAGCTAGTTGAAGGAGGGAGGTATGATGGAGATCAAGGGGGAGTGCCCAGGAAGGTACAAGAAAAGCAGATTTAGATGGTCTCATGTAAGTCAGGGAACAGGTGCTTCTAAGACACAGATGTGTGAACCCTTTCACTTCCTATCCCAGGAACTGGGCTGGAAGGAAAAAGGACTACAAATAGCTATTTCTTTTCTTTTTACTATGAATAAAGCTTTTATTGGTCATTCTGAGTGGCAGACCGACATACCTCCAAATCACTGTTACCAAGCCCATGAGATGGCAAGAGAAGAAGCTAAGCATACTGATGGTGGGCAATGGGTGGGAAGTGGAAAGGGTCTGAAGGCCCCTGGGGTTAACAAGGCTACCAGGACTGGAACCAATGTCCCAGGAATAAATCCAGATTGGAAAGACCTCATCCAGGGCTGGAGGTCCTGGTGACTCTGGATCATCTCTAGGACTGCTGTCTGCTCCTTGAAAGGTTGCTGTGGTCCCCTCGGCCTTCACTGTCCACCTGTCCGTGCTCCTCCACTACCCGATCTGCCTGAGTGATCTTGGTCACAGAGATGCTCTTAAAAGAGGATCTGGTCTGGGGCTGGGAACTGGCCCAGGGCCTTCTGGGAAACCTGGGAATCAAGATCATTGTCTTCTCTGGCTCTAGGGTGGGGAGTCACTGCCCACTTGGCATCACACTTATGAAAAGGTCTCTGGGATCCCCAGTCTGGTGCTGACTTCTTGCATCCCACACCCCACAAATATTCTGGACTAGCGACTTATCTGAGTGCTTAAGCACTGAGTCCATAAGCATCTCTCCCTCCCATGGTCTTTTACCAGGTATCTCTGACTCAGGGCCTGGAAGTTCCCCAAGGTCCAGAAAAGCCAAAAAAAAAAAAAAGTCCCAAAAGAGGTCAAAAACACTCAATCTCATGTGGGACTCAAACCTTGAAACCTCAGACATGGCCCTTTCCTGCCTGAGGGCAGCCTGTGTACCCAACCCATGTTTCTAGTG